GATTTTATTGTCAGTGTGATTGAATTGCAAGTACATTTCACCGATTATGTATGGATAAATTAAAAAAATAAAATTGACTTAGGAAAATATTAAAAGAGCAAGTTCTGGAGTACTTAGCTGTTACAGTTTGCCTCAAATTGGGTCATGCCACGATTTCATGAGCAGTAGAAGACTTCGCAAGATGCATGCAGTGAATATAAGCCCCACCATCTCTGGTTTCGATTGGATCCTGTTAGGATCGATAGCTGGGCCAGATTACCCCCAACTGTTTCCGGTTTCACAGTGGTACACGAAGTGGTAATACACTGGTAAACAGACAGGAATTTTAATGGAGTAAGAAGTTATCCTGAATGAACGAATTATTATATTCTATTGAAATAAATCGTGTTATGCGAAGAGAACTGTAACAAATAGTAAAAAACATGTTTCAGTGTAACCAATCAGTGAAAGCACAACAACTGTTTGCAAGAACGCGTGCTAATTATCCAGTGTTTCTTTCTTTTGAAATGCCTGCAAAACATATGGACTCAAAAGCTTCCAAAGGCAGTTAGCTGGACAAGCACGGGCGGCTGGCTATAATAAGACAGGTACTGGAACTGTGAAAGATGTAAAGAACATTGTACTGGCAATCTGCTAATTTAAAGCCAGAAAATGCAATTGAATAAGGAGGACAGCTTAAATGGCCAACAATTTGTTTTCCTTAGGCCAATATCACACATTTTTAACGGTACGTCAAAGCACACAGGTATCTTTGTCTAACTGACGAACAGACATGGCCTCGTGTAGATAATGTCATAATTCAACAACATTTAACACAGTCCGGCAATATCTACAAGGAAACCTCACACGAACGCTGTTACAGACGTCGGCGTGATCACGAATGTTTGTCAGAATAGGACTCGCTGTGAGCACTGCTCTCGCACCTTTGAGCAGGCTGAGTCAGGGGAACTGTTTTCAGCTTAATCTTGAAACCTGAACACAAATCCATGCCGTCTTGATTGAGCGCCTTTCTCACGCAAACCAAAAGGGGGATGGTGGTGTTAGAAAGTGTTTCGATTTCAAAAGAACAGAATCTAACTTATACAGAATTAAGCATTAATAAAATGGTATTCAGGTCAATTGAATGCAATAGTGAATGTGCAATCTCGATTGAATCGGAAAATGTGAATGAAAAAAAATACTAGAAAGCTAGAAAGGGAGCCAACGTAGACAGTTAGTAAAAGCAGTATCCAGATAAAAATAAACGCTAAACACTTGCATTCCTCTCCTGTCGGAAAGTCTAAGGTCAATAGAATGGAACATTGGGTCATGGAATATTTGGCAATGCATGATTGTTTTGTGGTTTTACAGAAGTGTTCAAATCTGTGTTCTGACTTAAAAAAAATGCCGCTATTTGTGTCATCTTTGTTACCCCCACAAATGCAGTTTTGTAACCAAGAGCCAGGTGCGAGAATCACCATCGTCTTACCAAAAAGGCCAGTTGGACATTACTTTTACTTTTTGTGAATGCAGATACAGATAGTAAGAAACATGGCTACATTCAAAGTAGCAGACAAAGAACGTTATTAGAACCTACCTACTCACTTATCGTTCTTTTTAAGTTTAGAAACAAATAGTTTTGTTGTTACCATAAACCAAGTGAACCAGGT